TTTGCAGCAAAACATCACGTCCTAAATTCCACTGATACCATAGCTGTGAATGCAATTAGGCAATTCCCTGTTGTTGTCATGCATGGGAGGTTCAAAGGGAGAGGCAGAGGTTGTTCATGCACAGCTAGGGGCGGGCAAACAAGTTCTAAAAGCACAAACCAAAGCAGTGGCCGTGTCGCAGCTTTTGAAAGGCAGGACACATCTGGCCTAACTTTCAGATGAAGGTGGTGGAGTGGATAACCAATCTTTCCTCATCCTCCTTCTCCCAGGCACAGACTAGTGCAGTGTCATCAGCAGCTCTTCTTCCTCCTTGTATAGTTAAACTCCACTAACTGGCATTGAGAAATTGGTTGAAGCACACCATCAGTAATTTTCTGCAAAAAGACAAGCAAGAATTCATTTTATCAAATGAGGAGGAGGAAGAGTGCACCAATAGCAGAGGGAGGGGACAAGAGTCAGGAAAAACAATTGATGTTCCTGCAGTTGCTGCTTACTGTCAAGAGGTCTTGAGCGATAAGGATGGTGGGGATGATGAGGTGGCAGATCATACCTAGGTGCCCGAAACTGTAGTAAAGGAAAGTGAGGGATAGGCACAACATTTGTGAGGCAGAATGTCATCCTGGGGGAGCTTGCAGAAGAGTGGAAGGTGCAACTGCTCTATTGCACTGGATGGCACTGCTCCATGGCCCTGATATCCACGAGTCTGCTTTGCAGAGCTTAGAATTCTGAGCCTTTTTGCAGACCTTGCCTGCAGCGTAAACCTACCAGTCATTTTGGTAGCACATGCATGAGCAGACACATGACTGTGTATCATAAAGCTCATTGGGAGCAGCACATTCATGATGAAAGATCTCTTCCCCTACACCACAAGAATCTCGATCTGCATGCACTGAACACGTTAGGGATGGAAGTCTGACAAGGGATTTGAGAGGCATAGCTCATGGAACGTCAAGCAGAGAAGAGGGCTAGCATGAGGCCAGGCTTTGTAGGACCAGGCAAAGGCTTCAGACAATCTTTTAATCCTGCCATCTCAGCTACATACGTGAGCAGATAGGTGACTCTTCTTCATCTGCTAAAGAGTAAAAAAATATATTATTCCGGTCACCCCCCCATGCCAAGCATCTCAATACCAGATTGACAAAATTGCTGGCTTTACAGCTGATCATGTTCCAACTAGTGGAGTCTGCCCTGTCTGCAAATTTGTGCTGTACCATAGTGGAAGGTACCATGGCATTTTTTTTAGCCCGAAGGCAATCCTTGCCCTCCAAAAGCATATGGAAGGTAAGGTCAATGTGTTGCTGGACCATATGGTCAATGCTAGGGTCCACATGACACGCACCTATAGTCTAGCAAGCATGGGCAGTGATGTGGCATCTCCTTCATGACCCACTGCATTAAGGGAATGATGCAAGATAGGACACTGCACTGGAGCTGGTAGTGCCACCCTGGCTTCTGGGTGTCTGAGTTTATTTTTCATCATTTTAGTGGATCCTCATTCAAGATGTGTGTACTGTGGATGTGACTGTTCAAAGATTTGACCAGAATGAACAGCTGCATGATAACTCAAGCAAACAACTGCTCGAGCAAACATTGTATGATGTAATAGACTGAATACTGGAGCCGGAGCACAAGGAAAAAAAAGGAGGAATTTCTGCTGTCTCAGGGCCTGCTTTATCCTGTACTTGTGAGGTCGCACTGGCACAGGAGGAGCATGAGGAGGAGGTGGAGGGTTCAGGTGACAGCAGAGAGGAACAGGAGGACATGGGGTAACTTTTACCCCTCCCAAACAGCAGGAGTTGGTTAAATACACTGTTGCTCTCAGCAACATTAAGGATTGGGGTTCCTCTTCCATGGGTTAATTCATGCTGCAGTGCCTGTGGAAAGACAAAATGATTTGGACCATAAAGGAGAGGGACCATTATTGATTGGCCACCCTTTTGGCTGCAAGAGGAAAGCATCATAACTCATCCTGCCATGACAGAAGAAGTAAAAAATAGGACATCTGGTAGAGGTGCTGCAAAACAACTTCTTAACTACCTTTCCAGTGAGTGGCAGGATCCCCTTTCATGACCAATGTGCCTCAGATCCTCAGGTTGGCAAAAAGAGGAGCAGCAGTGGATGTGACTGCCTAAGTGAGGCTTTCAAGTCCTTTCTCATTATGCATCAGCTAGGCCTGGCTGTTGCCTAATCAATGATTATATTGGATCAAGTTTAAATGTGGACACCTCTAAAATGGACAATTCACTTACCTACTGAGTGTCGAGGATGGGTCACTAGCCAAAGCTTGCCCAGTATGCAATCAAGCTGCTGCCTGCACTGTAGCAAGAGTTTTTCACAGTGGGCAATTAGGCCCATGGATGATTTTGTGAAAAAAAATAATCCATCTGTCCTAAAACACAGTTGACCGGTTAACCTTTATAACTATGAACCAGTCCTGGATCAGCAATGGGAGCCAAATTCCTGCAGCTGAAGTTAACAATTCAATTTTTTCTTTGACTTTGGCCTCAAAAACATTATACTAAACAGCATTATGATAGCCTACCACTGCTACTGGCCATTACCATCCTCTGCCACCTGCTTACGTGCCATTCATAACTATTTCCTGCCACCTATGCAAGTGTGTCAACAAAACTATCTTGTGCTGCCTCGACAGCTTTAGTTTGGTTCTTCGGCACTGAGAATGTGCCGCACCTAATTTTTGTACAGTTGCACCTCAACTGCCATCTGTCACACGTAATGTTTCCATAGCTGCTCTTGTTGTAAAAGTTATAGTATTTGCTCTAGGCTAAATCGTGCTGCTTGTCTCTTATTTTCAGTTTATGCCAGTACTCTGTTATTCAATAATATTTGTAGCTATTGTCTCTCTGAAATAATAGTCTAACAGTGATTTTACTTTAATTAGAACATGCCTTGTCTCCCCAAAATAAACTGTGGACTGGTAAACAATATTACATGCTGTGCACGTGGTCTGTAAAATACTTTGACCCTCTTTTGATCAAATCATGTACTCTCATTTAGATATTTTGCTACAAGCTGCCTTTGTGTATCTTCTGTTCAAAATGCAGACTTTTTTTATTATTGTGTAAGGAGTCAGTTGCATATTTTGCCATCTTTTTTTCTTGGGAAATAAATACTCTAAAGCTTTTTTCTTTTATTAAAAGCTTGACTGGTCCTCCATTTTGTTTAAAATGCAGTCTACTATTGGTCTTAAAATACTGAGGTTGTTGAATTATTTCATGTGAAATACATACATTTAAATGTTGAATTTTGGGATGCAAAACTGTATGTGGTCTGTCACATAGCGAACATTGCCCACTGCCTGCTGAGAGCTACTGTATATTAGGTAGATTGTCCAACACCTTTCTTCAACACTTGAGGAAGGGGATCCAGGAGGCACGGAAAATATTTTGGAGTCATTTGCTCAGGAGCTGTTGTAGATATTATTTTGCCATACCTACAGTTCTGATAGTTATTTGGAAATTTTTTACATCCCCAGAGGCATCTCGGACAAAGCTACTGAACCCTGGCTTTATATATTTCTGGGAAATCTGTAGACATTTGCACTTATAAAATTATGACACATGACTTCACTTAGTTGATTTGGGTAGGAAGCTTTCCTTGGTCAGGTATCTAATAATATGTGAGATTGGAAGTATATTAGCTTCTATACTGTACTCCAGTTATTGCTGTTATGGTAGACTGTCTAAGCTACAATAAGAGGGCTTAGGAGGAAAGGAGGGGCACGGGGACTGTTGACATGTCCATACAAGACAGAGGGGCTTCTGTATACCTGGGATACTTAGGGAAGGACTATTACTCACTGTGTAATACAGGGAAGGCACCATCCCAGACAGCCCTTACTAGTATTGGAGGGTGTATTCTTTCTTTGAATAACATAATGTGGTGTTTGTGAGCAATTATATTCTAGTCTTTTAAAACGCCTCTTTTATTTCTTGATAATACATGGTCTAGATTTGGACTGGTTCCCAGACAGGGCACACATACACAAACTATGGGGATGATATGAGACCCCACCTCAATATTTCTTTCATAGCAATTTGTCCCCTTTTAGTCAGGTAAGTAATAAACCCTCTAGATCATAGTTGGGAAACATTGTGGGGATTGGATCTTTAATATAAATTTTTTTGGACCTTTTAGGTGGTCTTGCATATTCTAGGAATTTCATTGTCAATTTTTTCTATGGAATAAACTATAAATATTTTAAAGGCAAATTTGTCTTTATTATTTTGCATAAATTTAACAGACATGGTATAAGATGTAAACAGAACATGTACAAGTAGATAAACGACAAAAAAAAACATCACAGACGATATTATGATCCATATGGATGTAAGAAGAGGATGTAGTAAAATTGCCGTAGGAGAAGATCAATATTTTAGCAGTAATCAATATAGATGGATCATTACTGTATCTCTAAAGTCCCATGAATTACTCTTTCCTTGGAGTCATTTTCAAAATGCATATTATTCCAGCTGATTACATGCTGACTGTACAATTTTTCTGTCTGAATTTTAAATGACTGTGGAATATGTCAGAGACAACACTTGTGGCGTATATCTGTGTAATATTTTTGCCTCTTGTCTCTGACATAATCCACTATAACTTTTAGTTTATGTTTAAACCTGCTTAATTTCAGTTTTTAAATGCAGAAAACTAAAAAAGCTTACATTATATAAAGTGTGTCTTTATTAGATTTATTCTCCATGTTTCAGGCATAGTTCACTATGGTTTTTATTCTTCTTTTCCTCTTCTAAAAGCCATATTACAGCTTCTATGAATGACACAGGATCTCTGAATGGAGCGGGCAGAGCTACCAAAGAATTTTTCCTAAAAGAAGAATAATAAACACAAAGGGCACATCATACTAACTATACATTATGCCCCTTGTGCTGATTTTTATATTTTTTTTATGTTTAGCTAAACTTGGGATATAACTATGCAAGGTGTATCTGCACTACCCAGGGGCAGACTGACAACTCATGGGGCCCCCGGGCAATAGGGGATCATGGGGCCCCTTTGTCCTTGCCCAAACTCAAAAAAGCCTATGAAAAAGGTACCGGGGCATCTCATGGGGCCCCCAACTGACCCCGGGCGCTCGGGCAGTGCCCGAGTTTCCAAATGGTCAGTCCGCCCCTGGCACTACCCATACCAATTTATATTTCAGAGTGAAATGGAAACTAGTGCAGGCCTGCACCTCATTAACAGAAGGATGCAGCAGTTTTCCATAAAAAAAACTGCATATAGAAACTGCTGCAGATTGCATCAGGGCTGACCTTGCGGATGGGATGTGAGATGTAAGCAGACAGCTCACATGCCTCTCTGCCCATGCAGTGATTACAATACATGAGCAGAGTCTGCAAGGTTAAAAACCCTCCTCCTCTCTCCCACTCTCAGCTGAGCAGGTGATGAGGGCAGGCAGAGAGGTTGGAGCATCCAGTTCTCCTATTTTCTGTGCCTTGTTACAGCCACAATAGAATGGAGAATGAATCTATTCTAGTTATAAAAAAATATAGCAGCAGCTGCTCCTAATTTACAAACTTCTTTTTTTTTTTTAGTTTTGAAGAGTGCTGCAAGCATTACACGTACACCACTCTTTATTTCCTCCCAATGTATTAATTTATGTGCCATAATTATGGTGCAAAAAGAATGGTATGGAGTGCACTAATAAGCCTATTTGAGAGAATGCTCAGGCCTTGTTTGCCAAATTAAGTAGTCTGACTAGTACACCAATATATAAAAGTGTTGCATTTTACGTACCAAATTAACAATAGTCAAGCACATTGTTTCTTTAATAGCAAACCTAGAAAATGCAACAGATGCCAGCTGGTGTACAGAAATGAGAAGCAGAGTTTCATCAGGTGTTCTAATTTGTCTAAGAGTTTTATATTTGTCAGTTGTTTTATGATTTTCATTTTGAAAAAAAAAAATACATTTTGAACAAGTTTTTTTTTTTTATTCTGATTATTGAAGTTTTTGAATAAGAGTTTAAATTTAATAAAAAAAATTATTCAAGTGTCACATATAAATTTAAAAAAATGCCTTCACTTCTACTTTAATTATATACCCCTATTTTATTTATGAGTAGGAGAGGTTCCGTTATACTGTATATCATTTTTTGGTTTTTTTTTGAGGGTGCATGTCCCTGAATGCAGACAGTGTGAGTTCAGGGACACATTACCACACCCACATGGATGTCAAATTGGGAGCAGTGGCTGTGTCCATACAGCCCCTGTGTTGTGTTGACATGAATTAGACTGTCTGCACAGAACACATCTCATGTGGGCAGCAAGGCCCTTCGCACAGGTGTACACATAAAGCAATTAAACGGTTTTAAAAAAATGTTACATTCCAGGCATGCTGGGAATGTAACTGTCACATTTGCTTGTTCTCTCCATCAAACAGTCAAGCCATCAAATGACCAGTGTCATAACTGATCACATGTGCAGCACCATGGCAGCAGCAGATCAAAGCAGGTTCCTTGACTGAAAAGGATGAGATGGATTAGTTTGGCTTTAAATACGCCTGTGTGAAATAGACCTAAATGAGATTGCTGATAAAATATTAAAGCCAGTGTATTTGTAAAGGTACAGAACATTATATTCTCTCCAAGAGTCTTTGCCTGTTCTAACTAAATCCTTTATGGAATTTGAAAATACTAATTTGCTATTACTATTACATAGCTATGGAGGAGCAGCATGGTCAACCTAGGACAAGACAGTGGTGTTCTGCAGTGACAACAGAGAGCACAAAGAGTTACCAGTTCACCGGATTTCTGTCAGGATCAATCGATATTTTTCACTTAATGAACAGATATAAAACCACTTTGGTATATATACACACCACATAAAAGGAGCACATAAGAGAAGGTCATTGTTAGGATTTATTTATGAGGTGGTATCAAAATGTTTTGAGACTAGCTCTATTTACAAGAAAGTACTTTATTTATCTACGGTTAAACACTATCACCTTCACAATAGTCCCCTTGCACATCAATACAGCACTCCCAGCATTTCTGCCACTTCTGGAATGTGTCCTGGAAGTTTTTTTTTTTATTTGACGCATGTTAAGCACCTTCTACTATTTGCGCAGGATCTCTGCAATGTTGCAACCTGAGGACGAACTTGGCAGCAACATGGCGCATGATCAAATCACACGTGCCTGGACTGTTCCGTATGACACACCGACAATGGCAGCAATGTTGTGGATTGTTCTCCGATGATCATCATGCACAAGTTGCAGAATGGTTGCAACATTTTGACATTTTTGGGGGTTGAGCTCACTGAAGGTCTTCCTGATCTCTCGTCCTCCAGTGATGTTCTTCTGCTATTGAAGCATGTGTGCCACACAAAACACCTCAAATGACTCATTGAAGCATTGCCATAAACTTGCTGAATCATATCCATCATCTCTGTAGCAGATTTATCCAGTTTCACGCAGAATTTCATGTTTTCTCAAGTTCTAACTTGTTATCCATGATGAAATAGCAGATGTGGTAATGCATGTGGTCAGAATAGCACCTGTTGCACAGCTCCCCATATACCCAGGATAATGTCTTTTGGCACACTGACTTATGAAGGTTGGTGCTTCCTGTGACTGTGCATGCAGCTTTGTGCTGCCATCTGTTGGCGTGTTACAAAGCTAGTCTCAAAACTTTTTGATACCACCTATACTTTTAAAGGATAAGTTCACCTTTGGAACATGTTACATGCTCCACCTGTCTTTAGGGTAGAACAAGTAACATGTTCCAGCTACTGCCCCCTCTGCACCTGATCCCCCACCCCTCCCTGTGACAGTGGGCAGAGAATCCTCTCCCTGTACCTGTTGTCAGAATTTAACAGTAGGGCCATGAGGGACTCCACCCACTGGTGTATCATCCATGGGTGCAAGGTGTTCACTGCACATGGGCCCTGAGGGGGAGGGGACCCACTGTGCTCTAACCCACAGGGCACCCATGGATGAGCCGCATCTGTCATTCTCTGCCTCTTATCAGCAGCGCTTCATCCTGTTGCCTTTGCCTTCTCTTGGTGTTTCTCCCTGGGAGCTGGTGGTGGGCGCAATGAGACACACAGGATCAGCAAAGCAGAGAGCTACATGTGGTCGCCAGAGAAGGCTGAATCTGCCCAGCTCCAGACTCCACCCCCTGACGTGCCGCACTGCCAGTGAAAGGCAGATTTGAGCAGCTTTTAAACCTGGCTTCCTGAACCTCAGGGAGAACAGCCTGGGGCCATAACTGGGGAATGCAGGAGGCACAGCTGCCCTGCTCCAGGCTGACAAAAAGCAGAATACAGAGCTATCACTGTCATCTATGGAGCAATCAGAGCAGAAGACAGCAGCAGGCTAGGTGGGAGAGGCACTACTGCCAATGGGAGGAGGGGCAGGGCCAGCCTCCGCAGAGCAGAGGATCACCTTCTTCTTTACTATCTGGCTCCTGTTAAAGTGTTACTAAACCCACAACAGTAAAATCAGTAAAGCATGCTTGTTATACTCACTGTGGAACCTAAGGGGTTAATCCCCTGCATTGTGTAAAGAGGCTGTTTGATGTATACCTGATAAGATAGACTAAGCCATAGTCACATGCACATGCTCATTTTAGTGTGTATTGCTAGAGAGGTTTTTTTTCTTGGGAGAGTGCATGCCAACCAGCACTGCCCAGACAGAGGGTCAGGTGTTCTGCATCCTCCTAGAGCAGAAAGAGAAAACTTCTGCAAGCTTTAACCAGTGCTCTGCTGAAGTCACAAGACTGCACTAACTGCTGATGAGAAAAGGTATTTAGTAGTTTATATTTACTAAACAAAAATGGGATTTGCTGCTGCCTTTGCTTACTCATTTGCAACTTTTGTTTTTAATGTGTGTTTTTTTTTGTGTTATCAAAGTCACTTTTCTATGTAGGTCACCTGAGAGCTGTGTAAAATTTGGATTTATATGATAAACACCTATTGCCCCTACATAATATGTTTTGTGTTCTTGGTTTTCATGTAAAACTATGCTTTTCATCAGTAAAATGGCCATATTTGATCTATCAGATCAGCTTAATGTGTCATCCCCTACATTGTACACGAGCAAACCTTAACAATCCATTTAGAATGTATCTGCCTAATTTGTATTTATGAGAAATAAATGTAATATATGAAATTCAATTTGATATACAATTTGTGTGTGTATAGGCTAGTATACACCAGCATTACCCTCTGAAGAGTGAGCTGTGCTGGATCGCTCTTCAGATGGTGTTTGGCAGGCAGCGAAGAAGCATTACCTCACTATCTTTTTCCACCCCTAAAAGCCTGCATGCAATTGCAGGGCAGTTGCAACAAGGTCGCAATCACTTAAATGGGCAACAATAGGAATAATTTTTGCTGTTCCACAATGCAAACCGTCACAAATGCAGCATGCATGTACACCCATACAGCTGCCTTTGCAGCTTAAGGGGAGCAGTTGGGAGGCAGTAAAAAAGCATCTCAACTGTGTGTTTTCAGCTCCCCTGAACTGCAGGTGTAAACGATCAGGTGTATACATCAGAGGAAGGGGGCACAATTTGGCATCCTTGCCCTGGGCACTGGATGACCTTGTGCAGGCATACTGAATACACTGTACCCATCTCCTGCACATACCACCCACCGCCATACACTCCGCGCCCCTCTCCTGTGCATACCACCCGCCGCCATACACTTCGCACCCCTCTCCTGTGCATACCACCCACCCATTTTATCTTTCTCAGTGCCTAGGGCCCACTTTTGGTCTTGCACACGGGCCCACTGCTTTCATGGATACGATCCTGGCTTCGCCAACATGGCCACATAATTCATTCACAGTTCTGTGAATGAAAGTACTACATGTACCATCCACTACTGTGGCTGACGGCTTGTAGTTATCAATAAATTACAAGGCACTGGTGAGCACTCTCGTATTTCACTGATTCTTCCTGCAATTCAGTAACTCACTGAGAGTCTGACAGAGGCTAGCAATGCCTTACAGGCTGCAGAGTAAAGAAAAATAATAAATGCACATTTTTTTTACCTTCAAAAATAGGTGCATTTATTTATTTTCTAAAAGGTGAACTTAGCCTTTAATATTCCACCAATCTGATATCCCCCTCTCTGTCATGTCAGCAGCCTATGGGTAGATTTATAATAATCAGATATTTTTCACATTTCATATCCTAACACAGCCCTTCCATACTCCGAATGCAGCATAAAGGGGCTCAGAGAAGGTTGTGGTGAAGGTGTGGAGGTGTCGGATCAGGTCACACATAGCCCAAAAGGAGATCCACCCAGCCTCATAATCCAGATAGATCCTGACTCTGTCACTGGGATAACTGTCATACAGTTGAATCTCTTCACTATTATGCATCACCCAATATTGATCATTAAATCTGTACAGACCCCAAGACTTCTGGTTATATCCAATCCATGACTGCACTCCTGTCCTGTCTATACTGGGATAGCACACCCCAACTCTCCACCACTGTGACCCCCCCACATCCACTTCCCAGTAATGTCGCCCGGAGGAGAAACAGCGACTGCTTATCACCTGAGGATAAACCTTAAACCTCTCTGGTGTTTCTGGCCGATTCTGCTTCGGTAAGTAGGATGCCATTTTTCTGTCATCTGATATACGTAGCTTATTGCAAGCCGTGTTTACATCCAGTATGAAGTTTGCAGGTTTGTCCATAGAAAAGCATACATTTACCTCTGTTACTATATCAGATAACCCTGTTTGTAATGCGTGAGTGGTCCCGGCTACATCCAGATCCCCTCTGTCATGGAGGAGATCATCAGGTCTCTCTCTGTCCTCATTATCTCCATCCTCAGAATCACACAAGTTACCTGGGACTGATTCCTGTAGGACAGTCAGGGGATCTGTGATTTTACACAGCTCCTCAATGTGACCCATCTTCTTGGACAGCTTGTCCTTCTCTATTTCCAGCTGGCAGACTAAATTATTGAGTAATAGCAAGATTTTCTCTGTCTGCCCAGAGATTTCTCTCAAGATTCTCTTCTCCAGGTCTTCCATCCTTCTCCTGAGCTCTTTAAACAGAGTAGTGACTTTCTTTGCTTCACTATCTGCTTTTTCTTCTACTTTCCTCCTGCGCTCCTGTAGCCTCTGGACTCTGTTCTCCAGCTCCCTCTTCCTTGTAATCAGCTTCTGCAGACCATTTGTCAGTTTCTTCTTCTTCTCCTCAAAGGCCTCATCCAGGGACTTCATTTGGTGTCCTTTGTGTTTCCCAGTCAGACAGCAGGACACACAGATACAGGCAGAGTCCTCAGTACAGTAATATTTGAAGAGTTCCCTATGGATGGAGCATGTTCTGTTGTTTGTGGTAGTGATGGGGTCACATAAGACGTGTTCTGGTGCCTTGCTGTGGACTCTCAGGTGTTTATCACACAGAGAAGCTTCACACAACACACAGGATTTAACAGCAGGTACAAGAGATTCCAGACAATAGGTACAAAAGACCCCGGAGTGCTCCTGATCTGGCTGAGAAGACAGGAAATTCTCCACTATGTTACGTAGAGTAATGTTTCTCTGCAGTGCAGGCCGATCCCGAAATTCTTCTCTGCATCCAGGACAGAAATAACCTCCAGACCTCTCCTGGGTATTCAGCACACACTCAATACAATCCCGACAGAAGTTATGTCCACATTGCAGCATTACAGGATCAGTGTAAATACTCAGACAAATAGAACATTCCAGCTCCTCTCCTATTCTAGCAGACGCCATCGCTGCCAGCAGGAAGTGAAAGTGAATTTGGCCAGCCTACAGGGAGATGGATGAAGTGCAGGCATTTGTAGCAGCGATGAACAGTAGTGGTGCATGCTGTGTATTATACAACTTTCAATGCATTTAGTGCTCTGTGAACATATGAGGTAAGCCACGTACACCACATGGAAACCAGTGTATATGTTCAATGTTCAGCATGCAGAGTTATTGTGCAATATTAAGAAGCAGAAATATATATTGTCTTCTTGTTAATGTGTGGAAGCTGTCATGTGCATTATTCCAGTTCTACAGCCACTGAAATAGCAGATTATATCATGTTAGCCATTAATCGGTGAGGAGATTATGAGTTTAACCCCTTGACACCAACATCACACAAATATGCGGTCTCACAGAACTGGACTTTTTTCTGTGGGGCCGCATATTTGCGTACTTGTCTTTGTGCTGGGAACGCACCACACAGCACACTCCCAGCACAAAGACGGGACTGTCACTGAGAGCCCCGGGTCCCGTTCTAACGATCGGGACCTGGGACGCCCGATTCTGGGTCACATGATCGCTCTGATAGGATATCACAGTGATCAGTAACTGTACAGCCCGGCCCTTGTTTTTGTTTTTTTTTCTCTCTATGAATGGAGGAGAGAGATTGCATCTCTCTAACTCCTGGCATAGAAAGGGAAAAAAATGTTTGTTAAAAAAAAAAAGATAAATAAATATTCAAAAATAGAGACAAAATACCTAGATCAAGGTTTGAACTACCGTATTTGCCGGCGTATAAGGCGACTGGGCATATAAGACGACCCCCTACTTTTCCTGCTAAAATGTAGTGTTTGGGCTATACTCGCCGTATAAGACTACCCCTCTTCCAATGCACACCAGTGGGAGGAATAGTGCCCCATCATCGGTGTCAGTGGGAGGAATAGTGCCCCATCATTGGTATTAGTGCCAGAAATAGTGCCCCATCATTGGCATTAGTGGTAGGAATAGTGCCCCATCATTAGTATCAGTGGGGGGAATAGTGCTCCATCATTGGTGTCAGTGGCAGGAATAGTGCCCCATCATTAGTATCAGTGGGGGGAATAGGTGCCCCATCATTGGTATCAGTGGCAGGAATAGTGCCCCATCATTAGTATCGGGGGGGGGGGGGAATAGTGCCCCATCATTGGCGTCAGTGGGAGGAATAGTGTCCCAACATTGGTGTCAGTGGGAGGAATAGTGCCCCATCATTGGTGTCAGTGGGGGGTGGAATAGTGCCCCATCATTGGTGTCAGTGGGGGGGGGAATAGTACCCCATAGTTGGTGTCAGTGGGGGGAGGAATAGTGCCCCATCGTTGGTGTCAGTGGGAGGAATAGTGCCCCATCGTTGTGTCAGTGGGAGGAATAGTGCTCCATCATTGGTATCAGTGACACCAATGATGGGGCACTATTCCTCCCACTGACACCAATTACACTTGCTGACTCTGTTCTAGTATGGTGCAGCTGCAGCCAGCATATGTGGTTGCAGCAGCACCTCTACACTGAACACTTACCTGCTGCTCCTGCACTCGATTTTCACGGGGCCGCTCGGCTCCGCCCCCTCGCCGGTGATTGGCCGCCTGTGTGCCTTTCCTGAGCTACAGTTCTGTCGGCCAATCACCGGTGAGGAGGCGGAGCCGAGCAGCCCGCGAACATCCAGTGGCCGAACTGAAGGAGCAGCCGCGCTTCCTGGACCAGATCATCGTGGGACCGGAGCCAGGTAAGAAACAGCCCCTGCCCACCCCTGTACTTAGTGTCCCTTCCGTTGGTGTCAGTATGCCGTATACCGGCGCATAAGACGACCCCCGACTTGAGAAGATTTTCAAGGGGTAAAAAGTCGTCTTATACACCGGAAAATACGGTAGTTCAGGGCCAGGGTAAGTCTTTGGTTCATGGGTTGAAGTCAAAAGGTCAGGATTTGTTTTTTTTTTTTTTTAAATTGGTATTAGTGTCAGTCTGTTTTAGGTAAGCAAACAAAATGAGCACTATTGTTTCAGGGCTGTACTACAGGTATAAACAACAAATAACATACACATATATGGATATATGCAATCGGCAAGAGCTGGAAATTTATTTTGGGTTGTTCTTTGGTGGTAGGTTATGGTAATAACAAGAAACACACAGCTAAATTAACAAAAAAATTTTTTTTACTATTTTGGGCCAGTTTTCCTTTGATAAAAAAAAATCAGGAAATATCCATTACCATTCACCACCAAATGAAAGCCTGAAAAAAAACAAGATATAATTCACCTGGATGTACAAAGTAGTTGTGATGATATGAACAGTTTTACTAACATGTCAAAGTTGCAAAATTGTGCTTCGGCATTAGGATTTGTTTTACCCTTAGGTGTGAAGGGGTTAAAACAGCCCTTTGTTGATGAGGGAATTGAGTGATTTGGAAGGAAAGAAAATCAAGCCATCACAGTGTTGATGTGGGAATGCCTCCCGCAGCACTCTTGTGTTCTGCTGGCAGTAATTGATGTAATCTGACAAGCTGTTTATACCCAAGGCGATTGTACCCAAGTTGATCTATCGATCAGCCTGCCCATACATGGATTGAATCTCAGCCAATCCCTGTTAAACTGGACAAACTTTGACCCAAGTATAGGAGATATCTATTTTTGCCTAGCTTAAAATGGATCTTAAGACTGAACATTTTTTACCTTAATGTGTTCCCAGCATCAAGGTAAAAAATGTCCCTGTATTTGTATTGCTTGTATTTGCCCCATCTCGATTCAGCACTGTGCCTTTCTGCAGCGGCTTTCTCTTCTCTCTCTGCTTAAAGAGGCAGCAGTAGGAGCCATTGACTCCTGTTGCTGTTAATCAAATCTTGAGCGGAGGGTGGGAGCAGGGCCAAATTGTGTGTGTCAATAGATGCACACAGCCCACCCCCCATAGGAAGTGGCTTGTTATGGTGGCAAACAAGAGAGGGGAAACCAGAGTGTCTGGGGGGGGGGGGGACCAAAGAAGAGGTTTGGAGCTGCTCTTTGCACTACTACTGCACAGAGCAGGTAAGTATACTATTTGTTAATTTAAAAACAATAGCTTTATAATCACTGTAAAGTATCTAAATCTCAATCCATTTACAATGATGTACTATATAGCAGTTTACCAATCCTTAGATGTGCTGGCTACAATATTTTCTTTTCAGGCTGGAAACATACTTAGGGTGACAACACTCACCATATTGTGTCTATAAAGAAGCAGTGTTATCACCCTAGGAGAGAACTACATAACACCTCTATTTCTCCTTATCTACATAACAATGGAGTGAGGGTGTTTTGCAGTCCACAGAGATAACTTGGAACAATGCAACTTATAAGCATGCAACAGAGGCAGAGAACACAGAATGGTATTAGCGCATAAGATTTTTGGCAGGTTCAATAAGTATATGTTTTGTGCTTTTTGAACATATACAATGAAACACATATACAGGTGAAACTCGAACCATTAGAATATTGTGCAAAAGTTCATTTATTTCAGTAATGCAACTTAAAAGGTGAAACTAATATATGAGATAGACTCATTACATGCAAAGCAAGATAGTTCAAGCCGTGATTTGTCATAATTGTGATGATTATGGCTTACAGCTCATGAAAATCCCAAATCCACAATCT